CTAGGTGGATCAGGTCAAAACAATGGACACTCAAACGGCGGTTCATTAATATCTCTTAACCAAGGTGACCAAAATTCAGGAAGCTTACTCAATGTTGGCATTGGCGGTAGCAGCGGCAATGGCAATCCAAATAAACCAAACACCAACGGAGGTAGTGCATATGAACATTTTTAATGATTATTTTTTTTCAACGCTCAATATTGAATATCGATAAGAAAATGATTCCAAGTGTTAACATGTTCAAACTCATATTCATTTACAATTTTTTTATAGGATCTAATGGTGGTTTACTGAATATCGGATCAGGAATTAATGTTGGTCTCGGTGGAAATAATCAAGGTAGTAGCCAAGGAAGTCAACATTCAGGCGCTTCAAATGGTTTGAATATTAATGCACTTGGGCCAAACGGCATCAACATTGGATTGGGCGGTCAGCAGAATAATCCGAATGGCCAAAATTCAGGAAGCTTACTCAATGTTGGCATTGGCGGTGGCAGCGGTAATTACAATCAAAATAAACCAAACACCAACGGAGGTAGTGCATATGAACATTTTTAATGATTATTTTCTTTCAACACTCAATATTGAATATCGATAAGAAAATGGTTCCAAGTGTTTACATTTTCAAACTCATATTCATTTATAATTTTTTTTTATAGGATCTAATGGTGGTTTACTGAATATCGGATCTGGAATTAATGTTGGTCTCGGTGGAAATAATCAAGGTAGTAGCCAAGGAAGTCAACACTCAGGCGCTTCAAATGGTTTGAATATTAATGCACTTGGGCCAAACGGCATCAACATTGGATTGGGCAGTCAGCAGAATAATCCGAATGGTCAAAATTCGGGATCAAGTCAAGGAAACTCCAATGGTCAACATTCTTCTCAAAATAGTGGATCATCAAACAGTGGTTTTGGAACATCATCAAATGCTGGAAACAGCAACGGTATCCCACAGAATTGTCGTTGGGGTGAAATGTACCGTGATCCAAATGATTGCTCCGTATTCTATCACTGTGCCCCCACTGGACGTCATCGCATTACCTGCCCGGCACCATTGCACTTTGATACCAAATTGAAAGTGTGCAATTGGCCAGCACAAGTGAAATGCACACCGTCAAGTAGTTCACAATCCAGCCAAAATAGTTTCCAGAATTCTCAAACCGGCAACGGTTTGAACAACCAAAATTCAAACAACATCAACAACAATGCAAACTATGGATCAGCATCAAAAGGAAATAACTATGGCAACAGCGGATCATCTTCAAATTCAATCAGTCAGAGCAGTTCATCACAAGGTGGTCAAAGTAGTAGCCCTTGCAGTTACGTATTGAACTTGCTGAAACGAAATTTCCCACAATTACTTCCGCCAACGTACAATGCTCCTCAAACCGTTTACGTCAATTGAACTGCACCCGTTTGACACATGCCAATCAAATGCATTCATTCTTTGAACTTGTCTTTACCATTGTTTTTCGTTCTTTCCCCCGGACAGAAAAATAACTGGTTTATTTATTATCATAATTTACGTATTTATTTCACTGAATTGCAAGAAATACCAATAAATATGCAGAAGTATAACGCAAATTCAGTTTTGGGTTTTTTTTCTCGAAAAGGTGTAAAAACAAAGAATCAATTCACTGAAAATACCAAGGATTTAAGGGACAGGGTTTTATTTTATTTGAATCGAACCGGCAAACCGAGCCGCTGAGTCATCTTGACGGAAGTATAAGCACATATTTTAAGGCGTAACAGAAAATCAAAAATGATGTACGGCACAAACGATTTGAACGCTATCGCCATGAGCGTGTAACCACACAGTTGAATCACCAAAGCAGAAGAAGACGTTTCATTTTTCGTTTTATATAAGCGCCAAACGTATTACTTTCGATCATGAAAAATGCTTGGGCGATCTTACTGTACAAGTTCATAATCAGACATTTAGAGATGAGCTGTACAATAGTTCCGATGCGAGCGAATAGCAAGAGACAAAAAGAGCACAGCAATAACTTCAGCAACGAACCAACTGTCGCAGAAGTATGAGAAAGAGAGAAAAAATCCACAAGAAACCATGCTATAGAGCTTGCGATTGTTTACATTTATACATTTTCTTGCGCATAAATACACACGCGTGCGTCAACACACAACACGCTCTCGTACGTACTGGGTGGATTTTTTTTTTTGGTTCGTACGAGTCGTAAAGCAACGATATTCCGTTGAAGCATCTTTGGCTTTGTTTCTTACTATGATCAGTCTTGTTTCGACTATTGGATTTTAAGCACGCGTTTTCATTAGCTCGCTTAGACACACAACCAAGCGTGTGCTACTAACAAACCCATATCAACAATTCAAATCACGAAAAAAAAATCTAACTCATCGCTGTTACAAGTGCATTTCGAAAAAAGTTGGGTGTGTGGTTTTGATTCTGTGTGGAAAATTGGATTTGACGGCTTTTACGAAACAGACAAATTCGTCAGGGGAGAAAATATTGTTTGAGGTAAAATCTCGACGGAGAAAAATCTAATTGAGTAACGGATTTTTATTGGTGTCAGTCATTCATGGGTGTTGAATGTCATTCAATGGCAATAAGCTGTAGACATCTCTTTTCGGCTATACGGCAAACAACAGAACCAACGCTGAACATGAAAATGACATGTTCAATTGTGTTTGTTTCGTTAGTTTCAACTGTGCCGCTACGAGAAGTCATTTTTGTCGTTTCTTGTTGTTATTTTACATGTAAAATCAATGATATTAGACGAGGATGCAGTCATTGAAGTGGTGTGTGGTCAAGTGGAAATGATAATTTCGTTATAAAATACAAAATGTTGAAATAGCATCGGCTCATCATTATCGAAATGCGTGTGTTAACAACAATGATCTCGAATCCATCCAATCGAATTGAATAAAATGGAAAATAGGCGAAAATATTTAAATTTGTTCGGCCCATTGTGTATCGTCTCAGCCGCGCACGACTTGGAGAGAAAGAGAGAGTGTGTGTGTACTTCACTCTCAAAGTGTTACGCGCGCGTTCGCAAGAGCGAGCGTTCGAATACAGAATAGCTTAATGAGTTCATCAACAAAATATACAACAGGTCGTTGAACATGAATCTCTTTTCATCATCTACAACTTCTTCTGGTGATCTCTTTCGGTTGTCATTCAAACGTGCGTGGATTTAGAAATCGTATTGAAAAATAAAAATAAAAATACACACATATACACTCCGAGATAGATAAGTTGACGTTATATCGTACCATCAGATCAAATGCGACAGTCGTAACTATGTGAAACACTGGTCCCAATTGCAAATAAATTAATCATCTAAAAGAAACTGTGATTTGGTCACGCTAGTTTTCGAAAAAAAAAAGCAAAATAGCTTAGCTACCAAACCAAGACATTTCTCAAGCGTACATTGTACACTATACACGCTAAGCATTCATTAGTCCATTGCATCAAAGACACTTAAGTCTATTTATGTATCATAGCAAACAGCAAGGGATCGGATATCGTGGAAACACGCCAGTCATATCAAAAGTGCAAGCCAAATAAAAGCGAAATCATGTAAACTAAATGAACAAAACACAACAGCAACAACAAGAGATTTGCAGCGAAGCAAAAAAAAAAGAGTTATACATCCATCTGTGCAATGAGAAAATCTTTGTGCGCCAATGTGTACATCGATATATGAATGGGCATAGACCGAATTGTGGAACAAGTTAAACAAGTTTTTTTTTACTTCTTCTTGCGTTTTTTTCTCATCAAGCCTAGCGTAGCTTGCAACTCTTCTATCCGTTAGATACTCGATGTTTTTCCTTCTCACTACGCTGTGCGATGTGCAATGCACAGATTTTGTTTTTCAGCCTATCATTGGCTAGTTTTTGTATTGTGTATTTTTTCCTATGTTCATTGTTGTTGTTGTTTTCTTCTCTTCAGATGCTGCCTAACTGGAATGGCATGAGCTGAACTTTAAATAAATTGATGGAATAAAAAGAGTACAAGCAACAATAATAGCAACAACAAAATGACGGCATATCGTTTACGATTGTGCATGCACTAATGAAAATATATGGGAATAATACATGCGATTTCAATAATGCCATTTTAATATGTATAAATCGAAAGTGGCCACAAATGCGCGTGCGCACATACTCTGCTGCTGTGTATTGATCGCGATCTAAAACTTTTACAATGAAAAACACACAAAAACACTCGTAGAGTTCACTTGATGTTGTATCGAGCGAATCATTTTCGTGATTGGTGTTTGCGTTGGCCTTTCTAAGTGGTACAGCTTGTGGATTAGCTTTATTTCTCTTACTCTCGGCTCAACACCGGCACTCTATCGGTTTCAGGCAAATGAAATGATTCGGTTCGTGAGTGAAAAACAAAAACAACAACAGCAGCAATTTGAAGAAATTGTAAAGTGAAATGAAAAAAAAAAAACGTACGATCATTCACTCAATGGAAAGAGATTTTCAACAAAGCAAAGTTCAAATCAGTTCGCATTGATGTTAATTAAATCGCATGTTCTTGACTCATGAACTCATGATATGATGAAGAACTTTGGTAGTACCAGGAAAAACAATACACTGATTTCTTATGACATTTCAATGACAACAAGTCGTTGCTTTTTCGCTCTGTTATTATCGAGATAAATGTTGACATTTATTCGCAAAAAAAGTAGCTGGATTGTTTTTGTTACTGCTGCTGCTGCTGCTGCTTTTGATTGCGTCTGGAGCCATTACGTAAGCCACATGCAGGATGCTTTGGTCTTTCAACTTGATCGAGATATGATTTTCATGATGTTGTTGTCTTGCTTGTGTGAGTGATCATGTAGGCCAAAGTCATCATCCAAAGAGATGATTGTCAATGTTCATGATGCGCAAAAATATTTGTGTTCCCGTCAATTAGTGCCCTTTTCCACGTGACGATGCAATTCAATTCAAAATTCGTTGACAAAATTTGGCGACAATTTCAAAAGATGGATCATCCATTTTTTCACAATATTTCTATACGATTTGAACTACCTTTCAAATGTAATAAGTGTTGGAACGTCTTTTTCTGCACGTATCTATGTTGACTTTCAATTACTCACATTGAAAACACATTAATTGGATTGGCCATGAAACATATCTATTGACTAGATCGAGAGGAGAGTATGTGAAAATATTCGAATATATTTTGAAAGAGGAGAGTATGATTTCTGTTGATTCTATCTGCGTTAAAAGGAAGTATGTTGGCATCCCGTCTAGCCTCCGCGGTTTTTCACGGTTTCCGCGGAACTGATAAAAGATAACAACATGGTGTCTTGAGCAAAGTTGTAGTACTCGAGGTCTTCTATAACATTGCTGAAGACATTTATCTCTTATCTCTTATCAGTTGCGCGCAAATCGCGCACATAAAAAAGCAAATTTTATATAGAACTTTTTTTTTCTTATCATTTTTCGCGCTTTTCGCGGAACTGATAAGAGATAAGAGATGATTGACTTCAGCAATGTTATAGAAGACCTTAAGTGCTACAACTTTGCCGAAGACACCAAGTTGTTATCTCTTATCAGTTTCGCGGAAACCGCGGAAAACCGCCAAAAATGAACATACTCGCCTTTAACCATTTTTGAGTCGAAAGAAACTTACTCTCCTCTTTCGTAACAAAGTCAGATGAACTTACTCTCCTCTCGATCTAGTCAATAGATATGTGACACTCATATTTCGTGCTAGTCACTCAATTTTTGTTATTAAAAAACTTTAATTGAATTGAGCTAAATTCGAATTGAATTTAGAAATAAACAGAATTTCACGACTCGTCGAATGAAACTGCTCTCCAAAATTTTTGAAATTGTCCGACTTTCTCAAAATGGCTTTTAAATGGTTTTATGAACGCAATAAAATGTGTGTACAGTGGAAAACGTGTGTTTTGATAGAGGCGATGTTTGACACCCAACATGGAATGCTTCTAATGAAACAAATATTTGTACGAGATCCGACAGATGCTGAACGCGCGAGCGCAACCGAATTTGAACATATTCGTGTGAAAGACTTCTGGCGGAGCCGAACCTTTATTTAATCACATTCATGTGTGAACAAGCGCCGTCGAAATTGTGACTTTGTAGTTAATCTCTTTGTTGAACACAGTGTGATGAATATGTACAATGTGCGTGTATTCACATCAATTCAAAGAAGCAAAATCTTGATAAAATAAATGCCGACAAAACATTTTCAATGTACGGATGTTGCATTTGTTGCATTTCGAACGATGAAGTCCTTTCCGAAGATTACTCAATATTTTGGAAATCGAAAAATAAAAATAAAACGAAATTGTCAGCTTCTTGAGTTTGAATTCCAATCAAACCGTAGTTTATGCATACACACATGCCAACTCTCAATCATTATTTATTTAATTTTCGGCATTTTTGTCGATGAGTTCAAGTGCTTTAATGATCATTTATCACAACAGCCAAAAATTATAGGTAGAAATTGGGCAAGAAAGCGAAGCAAAATGAAATCGACACGGAATGTTCGTTTAATCACCGATGTGATTGCGAAACGTACAACGACAACCACAACGGCCACAGCAAAAGCAGCTACCGCTGAACAGTTAAACTACTATGAGCCACAGTGTCCGCATGCAGTTGTGCAGAATGAAAACCATTTATCGAATTCATCATCGACAGCGACGGCGGCCACCATCGACACACCATTTACCTATGAAACTGCACGCCCTTACAGCGAAGTGCCGGGTCCAAAACCATTGCCACTATTGGGTAACACATGGAGGTAATTTCTACATCTAATCACTTTCATTCTTTTAATGGCAAAATAACACACGATTTTCGAAAATTTCTGCTCAAAACACGACGAAAAATAAAAACTAAACAAATAAGGTCAATTATGGTGCTTGTAGCTACTTTATGTAATGAAGACTCTTTTTTTGGGTGTGATCTGTGCAATAAATTTTAGAAATACATGACTGTGCATATTTTCAGACGAAAAATGAGTAAATTTTATGGTCCATCACATAAGAGAGATGAAAATATCCACTGAACGTGTGGTAATTATAACTGACGCGTAAATTTAATATTTTAGCAATTTTTCCACGCTTATTTTTTTCATAATAACCATTAAATAAACAATAGCGTATATACTTTGCACGCGTTTGTAGATGTGTTTTCTTTTCTCTAACGGAATGCTGAAATGCAAACAGCATTTTTGACGAACAGTCACCGCTATTAGTGTGCCCAAATCTGTAAATGGTCCTCTTAAAATCAGTAACGGTTTTTTTTCTCATTCTCTCTCTCTCTCTCTCTGCCCAAAAGTAAAAAAAAATTCATCGCATTTGCTTTCATCGAAAAGGCGCCTATATTTTGAAAAATATAAATCAAATTTTCTGTTTCTAATCGAAACACGTAAATTTTTTCGTCCGAATTTCATTTTTTTTTAAATCAAAGTGAAATGTTCAGTCGAAATGATCGATTATTTTAACTTCTGTTCGACATCCGTGTCGATCCAATGATAATTCTAAAAACTAACTTTGCGTGTTTGAAATTGTGTTAATAAACTAAAAGGCGGATATCGCATTTTAATAGATAACAATTAGTGTTAAACAATAACACGCAATAAACAGTAGCAAAAGAACGTATTGTGCCAATTTAAGGCGCCTCCTCATTACACTCTAATCAATTGTCTTGAATGCAAAATTTACGGTTACAATTGAACCGTAATAATGGTTCATTTTCAATGCCACTGATCACAAGAATGGATTACAAGACATGCCACAAAATTTGTCGATGAAGACGGAAAACAGAAGGAAGAATACGCCAATCAACACATAATTATTGTATGGCTGGGTTTCCAAATGTTACCGGACTGCGTCATGTCTCTCTCTCTCTCTCGCACTGCCGTCATTTCGGAATGTCCACAGAATAACAACATTTTTGTTTACAATCTATTTCACAGAAATATATTTGTTTTTAAACAATTCAAATTTGGAATGTTCTAAACTTGAAAAAAAAAAATGCTAAATGAATCGAATATTTAATGAACATTTCATTTATAAAATCTTGGCCAATTATCATAAAGTTCAACATTAAAATATTACAAGAGCTTTGTGGTTTGTGGTTGTTGTTTTGCCACTAAAATAAACACATTTTGCATGAATTACAGGGCGGTCAAGAAATTATAGCTTTTGAATGAGTCAGGTGTGCCGAAGTATATTATTAGAGCGTGCGTTAGTCGCAATGCGACCTACTATAGTAATTGACTTCAAGTACTTTGTTACCATGCCTTTTTCAATGCTATTTTTGAAGAAGGCTTGAACCAAAGATAAACTATTAATCATCGCAAACATACCGCAAAATGACAAACATATTCAATAAATAAAACGCATATGTTAAGTGATTTAAAACGTATGCAGACAAAAATACTGCAAAATGCTATTCATAAAAATAAATTATCATCTTTAAAAAGCCGCAAATTGTCCAAAGAGCGCCACACCCACAGGGGGGGGGGGAGTCGTCGCCTATATTGCACATAAGCATCAGAACGCGTCGATCATAAGACACAAAAAGGCTTCAGACACAGAAAAAAAAATCGCTGTCGAATATGACCAATTCGTTGCAATTACCAAGTATCAAGTATAATGGATCGAAAAATGTCACACCCGATCCGATAAATATGTATATATATAAATTGGGAGAAGAAAAAAAAATGATTTCAAGCCGTTCAAAACATCGACGATTTTCGGTTTTCAATACCGTTAAATTTCAAATGTTATGCCATTGTCAATATTGTTGTTGCTATTGGAATTCATTCAACAAATCTGGACCGAAAATATGTGTAAAAATCGTGTTTGTCCGAACCCGTGTGCAAATAAAATGACTAACAGTCACTCAGTTGTATGTAACTGTATGTAGTGATACACAACTAAAACTGGCTAAGTTGATTGAAATCATGCGTTTTGTATGGAGACAATCACGTTTAGTTATTCTTTCAGTCAGTCGACTTATTTGGGACATTTTGACTAAGAGTGTTATGTGATTAAAGTTAACTACAATTGCTTATTTTGTTCGAGACAATCACTTTTAGTCAGTCAAAATGTCCCAAATTAATCGACTGAATAGTCAGTCAAAAAATTTCCACACGGGAACAGAAAAAACCAGTTTTATTTACCAACATATATGAAATGCTTGATGACTTTGCGGCACAAAGAAATGGTGTGTTTTTTGTTCATCACTCTGGCTTAAATCCGATTGATTTGCATACCGTTAGAAAAAGTGAAATAGCAGTCATATCTCATTTACGTAATCAATAACGTTTTTCTTTTTTGGGTCTCTTTCTTTCTTTCTTGCATGGCATATCTTTCTCGGGTGATCGCTGCTACGCGCTCGCCACACATCATTGTCACACATTTCAAACTTTGCGTGACACACATTTCGATTGATCATACTCATCAGATTGATGCCGATTATTGGGCAGTTTCAAATATCGGACATCGCACGCGTTTCATACATTTTACATGAACGATGGGGCCGAATCGTTCGACTGGGCGGTTTGTTGGGACGGCCGGATTTATTGTTCGTCTACGATGCCGATGAAATCGAAAAGGTTTGTATATAATTTTTCTTCTCTTTTCGTGTATAAATAATAAAAAAATGCGCTTGGGTTGAATGCAATGCAGATGTAATTATCAAGGTCTTATGCAATTTTTTTTTGTCGTATTAAAACATATTGTTGGTCTCCATTATCTTTCAATCGATTTTGCAATGCCATAAGGTACAATGGGTTTAAAAAATGAGGAATATCAACTTGTTTGCAATCCAAGAACACGAAGCATTTATCGAGACAATGAGTGAGAAGATATAAAACGGCAAAACCGGCGGTCGGTTTGTTTCTCACCAATCATTATGAAGTAATACGTATTGTTGTTGTCAGAGCAAATGAGGAAATCATTTTTGATGAAAAACAAAAATCCGGTTTTTTCGATTCGAACAAGTACTATTAATCTCACATCGAACAACGTCATTTTGAAGATACAAATCCACAGAAAAAATGTGGACCTATAAACAAATGAGAGAATAGAAGGTCATTGTTAAGCAAAAGTTATTTTCGGTTATTCAACAATAACCAGAAGCAATCAAATGAGATTTATGGGATTTGGATAAAGTTTATTTTTGGATTTTGTTTTGATTTCCTTATAGTGTTATCGCAACGAAGGTGTCACACCGTTTAGACCATCGATGCCGTGCTTAGTGCAATACAAGGGAATCGTTCGAAATGATTTCTTCGGCGATTTGCCAGGAGTGGTTGGTGTTCACGGTGAACCATGGCGTGAATTCCGATCCCGTGTTCAAAAGCCCGTTCTACAGCTAACTACAGTCAGACGATACGTACGACCATTGGAAGAAGTTACCGATTATTTCATAGAAAGATGCCAGCAAATGTTAGACGAGAACAATGAACTGCCCGACGATTTCGATAATGAAATTCACAAATGGTCTTTGGAATGTGAGTAACATCGCAAATTTGATTACAAATTTTTGTTTTTGCGTTTTACTTCGCTAGATAAACTGCAAAAATTCTTTTTTTCTTCTGTTCGAATGAACAAAGAAAAAGCGAATTTAAAGTGACATGCCGTTGAAGGAATGCATTTAATGTGAAAAATGACATACAAAAGAGTGTTGTGTATGCTCGAGAACGCGTACCTCATTATTACGTTTGATTGATGCAAACGCGAGTTTCCGAACGGAATACAAATAAGTGATATTTGCATATGATTCAACACAATACATGTTAAGCTACCGCTCATAAAGTGTTTGTGGCAAAAGATTTATATGTCTTATTTTTCATTGATTTCGAGTAGCCATCGGTCGAGTTGCACTTGACGCACGTCTGGGTTGCTTGGAACCTAATCTTAATCCAAAATCCGAACCACAGCAGATTATTAATGCCGCTAAATATGCCCTGAGAAATGTCGCTACACTCGAACTTAAATTCCCATTCTGGAGATATTTCCCGACGCCATTGTGGTCAAAATATGTGAACAACATGAATTATTTCGTCGAAATTTGCATGAAATATATTCAAGCGGCTACCGCTAAAATGAAGTCACGATCACCAGCCGAACGGGCAGCCCTCGGCGAACCATCGTTACTCGAGAAGGTCATTTTAAGCGAAAAGAACGAGAAAATCGCATGTATTATGGCACTCGATCTGATTTTAGTCGGCATCGATACGGTAAGTCTCACCTCATTAAGAGTTCAAAAAAGATGACATTCACATAACATTGCATGGCTACAATATTTTATTATGAGAAAAAGAAATGAATACGATAAAAACGACATCAATTTTATTTCAGATTTCGATGGCAGTTTGTTCGATTCTCTATCAGCTATCCACACGGCAAGCAGAACAAGAAAAAGTCTACCAAGAATTATGCAGAGTTATTCCTGATCCGAACACACCATTGACCTACCAAACACTTGAACAGTGCCACTATCTGAAAGCGTTTATTAAAGAAGTTTTTCGGTGAGTGACTCACGCGTTGATTCAAATTGCACGTTTTAAATTCAAAATGTTAATTGATTTTGAATTTTCCGTTTCGAAACAAAATAAACGCTTTGAGCCCGAATGTAGACTAAACGGGTTTTATATGTAAATTATCCATTCGCAGAGTGTACAGCACAGTCATTGGAAATGGTCGGACGTTGCAAGAAGACACAGTTATCTGCGGTTATAACATACCGAAGGGAATTCAAGTTGTGTTTCCAACAATTGTCACAGGAACGATGGAACAATATTGTAAAAATGCCGACACTTTTCGGCCGGAACGATGGTTGAAGACAACTCAAGGAGGCTCCGGTGAATATATTCATCCATTTGCTTCACTGCCGTACGGATATGGAGCGAGAATGTGCTTGGGACGACGCTTTGCCGACTTAGAAATGCAAATTCTATTGGCTAAGGTATGAATCGACGAAAATAAACTAAACTTGCATTAAGAGAGTAATGATCGATTTCTATTGTCAAACCGAAAAATTCATTTCATCTCTTTTTTTTATCCATTCTAGTTGCTACGTACACACAAATTGGAGTATAATTATCAACCACTTGATTATGCCGTCACATTCATGTACGCACCCGATGGCAAACTTAAATTCAAAATGACCAAACGTGACAAGTGAATTGTTGAGTAGTTGTACGAAAATTGATAGTTTAGAAAATGTAAGGTTTCAAAGGAAAAAGTATTAAAATATCCATCCCTTGAGTTTTTATCGCTTAACCGAACAGACTGCGAGAGACAAACTGGTAAATATAAATGGAAATCCACATTCATTTCATTGATGTAATTTGTACAATTTTGGAAATAAAGAAAAACCATGTGATGATAATAAGTTTTGTGTATGTATTTTATTTTATTCTTGACCGAACATTTCAGATAAAATTGAAGTATGGAATCAGCGATAGTATCGCAATGACCTGTATCTTTGGATGCTGTTGGCCGAATCGCTCTATTCTAGTTCTCAATCAAATGCATTGCACTCGAGTCAAATTCACACAAACACATTTTAAATATGAACACTTTCTCTCGCCTGAACAACATACAACATACGTCCTACACTGTTGATGCAAAAAAACACGGATGCGAAAAACAAACAATGTTGCCCTTAACAACGGATAACAATAACTTCAAGCAATAATAAAAAATAAAAAAACTAGTTCCAAAATCAGTTAAATGCGTAAATTCGATATAATCCAAATTTTTTGCAGAAAATTCTTCTTTTCATAAGTTTTTCCACCATATTTTATTAATCTGTTAATTTTTTGAGGTGAAAATGCCCAAATTCGATATACCTGTCGAAGATAATGAGTCAATAAATAGTTCATTATCGCTAAGTTCCAATGAAAATGGATCAGTGTCGAATCGATCGATGGCAAGTAGCGTCAGTATTGGGCCGAACAACAATTCACCACCGCTTGAAATCGAACAGCCAAGGCTGATTTACTGTCCAAACGGTACAAATTTTCTACCCGTGTGCAGAGAGCCAACTTTAGATGCGGTTTTGGTACATTTGAAATCTCTATTGAGAATAGTTCTTTTAACACTTTAATTATGTTCACACAATTTGTCACTTCTTCTGAACACCTAAGAAGACAAGGAATCTAATTGCAATGAAAATTTCAGAGAAAATCATGCGGACTAACCACCAATTTGGATACATTGACCCACATTCAAATGCGTGTCTCGCCAAACGTGTTTGGATTGCATCAAATGCACATTTTTCTACCAAATTTAATTGCACTAAATTTGGATGGCAGTTCGTTAGAGTCATTGCGAGATTTGGGTTGTGATTTAAAAGTCAAATATTTAAATGTTAGTCGATGCGGATTGAGAAGTTTTGATGGAATCAGTGATACAGTTGAACATTTGATAGCTGATGGTAACGCAATATCATTTGTTACTAGTTTCCATTAATTGCCCACTATCAGTTCGTTATATTGCTATTAATTTTATTTCTTCTTTCTGATTCTCCCCTTAGGTAACGCAATATCGAATGTTATGCAATTGGGCGGACTGCAAGAGTTACATACATTGAGTTTACGCAAGTAAGAGAAAACATTTCGCATTTATTCTGATATATATGTACATATATCAAAGATCTTTGATCACAATCCATTGATGAAGCGATAAAAAAAAGCGTACAACTGTTGTCGATAAATTTTTTTTTCTTACTGTAGCAACAACATCAAGCAGTTCAATGTTATTTGCTTCCTTCCGATGTGCACCAAACTAAATAATTTGGATTTAACAAACAATGGAATTACAACCGTAGCAGATTATCGGCAAAAAATGAAAACGGTAATACCTTCGCTATTGATACTAGATGGCTTTGGATTTGATGAAACTGGAACAAACGCAAATATGACGGAATGTAGCTCAAGCTTAACCAGTGATATTTCAAGGGACAGTTCATCGATATCGGATAGAATGTCGGAAGCTAAGTTGACAAGTCGACCGTTGAGCGAGACAAATCAGTTTGTTGATACATTAACTATCGATTCATCATCAGGAAGACCTTCTACAGCAGGTGGGAATTATTTTTTTCATTCAAATTTGATGTCCATACGCGCGTCACGGAGATCATAATGTGATTAAACAAATCTGCATCATTCATTATATATTTTTTTTTCTCTGTTTGATTCAATTAGAATCGTCTATTTGTTCAGGTGGTGAGCCAATCGTTGGGAATATAGTGAATAAAGTTCGTCGTAAGCGTCGTGAAAAAATAACTCACAATTCGAGCAACTCTTCATCGATACTCGAGTCAAGTTTACAAAACGTTGCGAAATCAAACAAATTCCCAATGCGACTGCCACAAAGTTCGGTAACGCTTGAATTGGGCATAATGAATACAGAAGGGATGCCATCGTCATCAGAACTAGGCAAATGTGATGATAATCAAGACGTACATCAGTTGATTGAAATGTGCCGACGCTGGAGAGAATTAAGCCGTAAATCGCGTGAAAACCATAATATTAACTCAAAGAGAAATCAGCACGATAGACATGAAGGATATTAAAATCGTTTTTTATAGCCTAAATTCGACTTCGAATCAAAACCAACCAAAACGAAAAAAAAAAAATGCAACAAAATATTCAAAAAGTGACTGAACAAACTATTTAGCAAAAAAAACTGGCAGTAAAAAATTGTCTCATGATGCACCCCAGTAAAATGATATTTGTTTTTTTATCTTCAAACGGTCAGGTATTATTTTTCTCTTTCTCTGTCACTTCCTTCAGTGCGTAATACTCTTCGTTTAATAAAAGTGCGAGCGTCTGCAACAAAATATTCCATCTCAGTTTGCTTCGTTTATCCTCTCTCTCTCGCAGACAAATACATAACCATAAAGCGTTTGAAATATGAGTCAGGCTATAAAATTGTGTTGTTCTTACAATATATTCATTCAATAATGCCTTTTCATTTCGACGGTCGCATTGGTTGAACTAACTAACGGGACTACCGAAACCAAGTTATTCACGGCAAATTCGTTCCGTTTGTGAAGTTGTTGTGTCGTCGGCGACGGCATTTTTAGTTGTAATCACGTTTCGAAGCCGATCACAAGTATTTTTGATTATTGTTGGTGAACATTTTGTACGGTGAAGAAGAGAAACAAAATGTTTGAGTTCAAAACAAATGTCAATTTGAAACGTCAGCAGCTTTGCAAATCCGAACCACATATTGGCATCAACGAGAATAAATCCATTGAAAACACGAAGTAAAACAAAGCCTTATTCTGTTCATACAGCGAAATTGTTTCTTATCAAAATTTGTTTATTTACTTTGTAGGCCATCATCGCTCACAACAACCGATTACGCATACCGTCATTCGGTAGAATTCGTTCCGTATTGGAAGGTTTATGGTTATAGTTTTTCGAATGCAACGAATCGGGATGCATATGACAACCGAAATATTATGCTAAATGTACAATTACCCAAGAATCTTCGAATTCCATCGAATATGCCGTTGAAATGGTCAACATCGCAGCAAGCCGCTGTCACTGAAGAAATTTCACAACAGTCATGGCAAGTCAAGCGACTCGAGCATCGAACAAGGTCGACATAAAAGCCGAAACCAACTGGCAATCAATGAAGAAAATAAGCCAGTAATATTTAACCTGATATTAATTCGAAATATTGCGAAAGAAGAATGTAATGTCATTTTGACTTATGAAATCAGTATACAGAATGATGTTATCTCATGACTTGATCAGAAGGAAAAACTTCTTAGAAAAGTCACCAACTCATTTCAATGATGATCTAATTTAGTTTTCGAATTTTTGAAGAATGAAAAAAAAAGATGTAAGTTGTGAATAAAAACGATTTAAATTTGGAAATTTCAAATATGATTTGTGTTTAATTACATTCAATGTCTGTCAATCCATCAAAATCATTGTGTCAAGTTAAAAAGATTAAAAGAAAACCCAACGAAACCTGTTCACCAAACGATTTTTCGTTGACACATTCTCTCAGAACAGAAAACATAAAATGCTACAAGCAAGTATAGCATCACATGCTACACACGAACAAATTTTTGATTTAAGAAAATGCAATAAAGGCCGAAAAGAAAAGAAGAAGAATGAAAATAAAAGAAAAATTCCAAAGTTCGGAAGAAGAAAAAGATCTATTGTGTGTCTAAAAGTCGTAATTTGTTTTGTGATCCGCACATACACATAAACAAATTTGAATAATGCATTTCAGTCACACTGTGTACGGTGTGATTTGTATTGCATTTAATTATGAATTTGTTTTTTTCTTGTTGGTTCTTTTCGTAAATTCGAAAACATGTTTACGCTTTGCCCACAGAGTACAATAGTAATGACACACGTAATGTATTCGTATTGCCGCATTAGCCCTTCGCAGTACAAGTCAACATCATAATAGTAATAACAATGATAAAAACCGGGAAAAGTACCACGCCCATGCGCTCTTCATCTCCGTAATTACTGCTATGTTTAAATTGGGATAATTGAAATATTGACTCTTCTTTGGAGAAAATAGAAGCCGAGCATATATGCATTTTAACAGGCGAAGAAACGCTTATTTATGAGAGGAGAATGAAATTTCAACTGAAAACAAAAGTCATTACTTTGGATATTTTCTAATTGAAAATATGGAACAATATTGTTCTGTAACGAACCGTATATGTTTTATGTAAAAACATCAAAAGGCATATTATAGGCATTCATGAAGCTTGTGCCACTTGAAATTTATTTTCAAACAACAAATTTCCGTTAATTTTCTTATTCATTTTCGAAATGCAAAATTGAGTCGATGCCAAACCATGACAATAAAAAGTCTCACAGTTTCAATATTGTTGCGATCGGTGTTGATGCATGAAAAAATCGGTAACAAAGTATCTTATGTATGTATGTACGTGCGATAAGTATAAAAGTCAACGTCATTGGTGTTGTGTACGTGACATTGTTAGAAAAGTCACTTCTTTAAATTTAGCGCTAGCTGAAACACACACAGATTGCAATAGTCCTTTTGCTCGTTTCGAATATTTTCCATTGGCATTTTCAACCGCTAAAATACACATACACACAAGACCGGTGCTCGTTTAATTTAACATTACAGACCCACTGTGAGAGTGGCAGAGCTGTTCCCGCCGCATACACAAACAGACACACGCACGCTGTACACGATTCAGTGTCACCAATGCACACGCGCACAAACACACACACACACATACGCTGTATCAATACCGGCTGCCGCATTCGAATTTACCAACCCACCAATACCAATGTAAAACGGTTCGTTTGCTTAACGAAAAGATACATGCACTCAAGAACGAAATTACTCAGCATGGGAGCCATTTTTGTAGTAGATATTTTTTCGAATTGAGACAAGCGCGTCAGGCGTCTACTTTGCGGTGTGTACTCTTCTGTCGAACCGAGTAAAAAAAAAATAACCAATAAATTTCCTAGCACCATAGTTAAGTGAAACAAGAAAAGGTTTTTTTGCAAGAAAAACTAGATTTTATATTTTGACAACAAATTAACGTGTGTGAAAAATCTATTGTGCGTTTTGTGTGTTCAATCGTTAAATCGTTGAAAATTTTTTGTGATTGAAATTATCTTCAATTTTCTCTCATTCAATCAAAAACTGTTGTATTTTAAAAATGGCTACAAAAACAAAGCATACGGGTCGTTCACAGACGCCAACGGTGCCGAAATCAACATCGACGCCAAATCCACGGGCCCAGAGCCCGCTAAGGTAAGTTTATTTAATTTCACAGAGAAATGTTTGAAATTTACCAGATAAATCAGAGTTTAATTAACGTTTATTGGTGCATATTTTTCTCTTCCCTCGTTTTTTTGTTCGTTCGGAAATTCGTTTCGGTTTCGGTGTTTGTGCGGTGTATTTTACATGCAGTCCAACGCGCCATAGTCGCATTGCAGAGAAGGTTGAGTTGCAAAATCTTAATGACCGTTTGGCTTGCTACATCGATCGTGTTCGCTTTTTGGAAGCTGAAAATTCCCGTTTAGGTGTTGAGGTAATGATACTCTTTTTGCTTCTCATTTTCTCTCCTAACTCCTTTGTTTTACGCGCATTTTCACCCTATAATTGCAATAAAATTTACACTTTGTTTATGTTTCATTTTTTCTGCATCGTAACAATAAAAGGTTCAAACCATTGTTGAAACGCAAACACGCGAGAAAACGAACATCAAGCAGATGTTCGAATCTGAGCTATCCGATGCGCGCAAAGTGTTAGACGAGACAGCTAGAGAGAAAGCTCGATTGGAGATTGACACCAAGCGTTTGTTTGAAGACAATTCTGATTTGAAGAATCGTTTGGAAAAGAAGACAAAAGAATTGAACGCAGCTCTATTGTATGAACAACGCTACAATGATCTGCAGGCCAAATACAATTCGGCTGTTGCTGACAAGAAGAAGGCCCAAGATGACAACAAGGAACTCGAAAATGAGATTGCCAAATTGAAGGCGGCATTGAATGATTTGCGTAAGCATTTGGAAGAGGAAACATTGGCCCGTGTTGAAACGGAGAATACGGCACAATCGCTGCGCGAAGAATTGACATTCAACACTCAGATCCACACTCAGGAATTGAATGATACACGTAAACGTACCATGATCGAAATCAGTGAGATCGATGGCCGTTTGTCGGAGCAGTATGAGGCGAAGTTGCAAAAGTCGTTGCGCGAATTACGCGATCAATATGAAGCTCAAATGCGCTCCAATCGTGAAGAAGTTGACGCTTTATATGAAGCCAAGATTAAGAACTATCAAGGTGAAGCCACTCGTGCCAGTGCCTCAGCTTCCGCTGCCATCGAAGAGATTCGCACTACTCGCAGTCAAATTTCGCATTTGAATGATAAGATTGCTGAATTGGAAGGCCAAACATCCAATTATTTGGCACGCATCCGTGACCTCGAAGCCTTACTCGACAACCAAATCCGTCTTCGTGCTGAAGACGAGGCTGAAATTCGCCGTTTGCGCGAAGAAATGACTCAACAACTCCAAGAATACCAGGACCTTATGGACATTAAGGTTTCATTGGACTTGGAAATTGCAACTTATGGCAAATTGTTGGCTGGCGAAGAAGAGCGTCTGAACATTTCGAACACATCGACCAGCCAATTTTCGCAATCGTTTGGTCGTTCGGGCCGGGCCACTCCAGCTGGCCGTGGCACACCATCTCGTGCCGGTAAACGTAAGCGTACGTTCCTCGATGACACCGACGAAGTCAGCACCGCTGATTTCTCCGTATTATCAGCATCGAAAGGCGATGTTGAAATCCAAGACTCATGCCCCGAAGGTAAATTTGTGAAGCTATTCAACAAGGGTGAAACCGAAATTGCTATCGGCGGCTGGCAATTGAAACGTGCTTCAGGCGAAAATGAAACCGTCTTCAAATTCCATCGTTCAGTCAAAATCGAACCAAAGGGAGTCGTCACCGTTTGGTCAGCTGAAACTAATACCACACATGAACCACCAGCAAACATTGTTATGAAGCAAAAATGGTTCCCAGGTTAGTATAAGAAATACACACATATTCGAGCTAGCAACATTTTATGAATTTCAAAATTGAAAATTAAACAACAAAAAGACAAATTCTGAGCGAAACTTTACTCGATTTACAGGGGAATTGATCAAAACACATCTGATCAACGCGGACGGCGAGGAAGTGGCCACCAATGAACGGATACGAAAGGTGTTGAGCACACGTGCCACTCGTCTACGATATGGTGAAGATTTGCACCATCAGCAGGGCGATCCACAAACCAACGGCAATGAAAAATGCTCAATCATGTAAATGATGCTCTCTGCACGCCCAGACACGTACGCCACCCACTTATACCATCAAAAAGTAAATGGTCCATAAAATAAAAGCAAATCAGCAACGAGAAAGAGATTTAAAAAGAAGGAATGAGTTTATTTCCCTACAGAAATGCAAAGAAAAAAAACAAGAATTTTTTTTAGAATTTTTCGTTGATCAAAACCATTGTGTTTTTTTTTTTTAAAAAAAACCCGTTCAAACATACATACGATTAGGTCAAAATAACAGTCATGCAGATAAGTCAAAACAAATAGCAACAAAAATTATAAAAAATCAATCGAAAATACAAAATTGCATGGTACACAAACATATGTAGTAGTAAGAAAAGGAAAAAAAAAAATTGTAGCGGGCAAGCGAATCATAAGAACCACCAGTTCCATACAATAGAGATTAAGACAAAATTTATAGGTATAGGCTCAACTAACAATGAAACAAAGAAACAAAACAAAAACAAACCGAATCTATTGCAAAAAAATTATTCAAATAAATAGAACAAACAAACAACAACAACAACAAAAATTAAAAGCAAGCCCGAAGATTATAAAAACAAAAATGTACGTCTCGTATACCATCTAAAGTTAAACTGTCCTGCTTTTGTGCTTTGTCGACGTTTAATATATTTACGTTTCTTTTTTTCTTTATATTCCTCCTTTCTATTTACTAATAAAGGTTCATTCAGTTTATTTTGTGTGCCTTTTTTCATTTATTCTCATTTTATTGTAGCACCCTAATTATTTTACACATTTATACTTAATTTGATCTTTTAATTTCTTTTCTGATTTGTAGTTTAAGAGTATACAAACTTATAAATTAGGCCACGAACTCTCACTCTCTAGTGAGTTGGAGTGACGGAGAGAGAGAGAGAGAGAGAAAGTAGACAAGATGTATCTATTTTTCAAGCAATTTTTAAGCAGAACCATTTAAAAACAGCATATTACACTGCCGCTATAATAGTTAATGCAGAGACAGAGAATAAGACGACGTTGTAAAAATGAGAAATGCATTTAAAAGCAGTGCCGATTGAGGCAATTGATACGATTAGTCGTAATAATATTCGAATTTTAGTCACACTGTTGCACTATGCTCTCGAACAAAACGGAAGAAGAAGAAAAAAACGAACAAACAGGATAATCACCATCGAAGAGTGCTATTTTGAGATTGGCCTTTTAAAATGAGTTTTCATCTGTTGTTTTCCTGCACATGTAACCTGTTTTCTAAAGTCTTGTTTCATTTTGTTTTTCTTTTTGATAAAATGTGAATCGGTTCCGTTTTTCTGAGTTCAAAAACTATGTATACCATACTTCCCATTTGACAAAATAAAGAAAATTGTTTTCAATTTTATGATAGCCATCAACAGATAATGCGTTACAGGATAATTATGTTGGCATGTTCAAAATGAGTAAAAAATGAATGAAAGTAATAAAATTTATTTTAATGAGGATTTTTTTATTGTGTCTTTTTTTGTCCATTTTTTTTTTCTTAAAATTTTCAATTTTCCAATTGAATTGACGCATGTGTAATACAAAGTTTACAGTGAAATTCGTTGCAACTATCGGAACAGGGAGAAATTTGGTAATCGATTTAATTTGGATTTAGAGAAACTGCCGTCCAAGTTCATCAGACCGCTTTGAATCTCTTTGAGTTCGGGCAAATTTTTTATATCACCACGAGCCGCTAACGATGGTGGAGACGAAAGGAAACGTTTTGCCACGCGTTGAATATCTTCTCCGGTTATTTTTTCTGTAGTAAAAAGAATTTGGTGAGTCCATATTAATATCAACACAATTACTGGAGAATCATTGAATTGTTTTTCTTCTAAAAATTGAACGTTGAAAACATTTCATACTCACCGATAGCTTCCATAAAGTGTTCAGGTTTTTTGCGTGCACCAGTGACCAACACTTGGCGACCAATGTCTTCGAAAACAACGGGTCTTGCTTCCAAGTTCATCAGCAGCACAGATTGTAGTTGTGTTTTGGCCCGTCGCAACTCTTCCGAACCTAATTTAAAAAAAAAAAAAAGAGTATCAAATATTATGAATGATTGATTGTCTAATAATATTTTTTTCTCGTTCTTGTTACCTGGTTCAGATGCCATTGCAACCATCTCACGTGTTATCACCTTGACAGCGTTGCTAATGTGTTGAGGTGGTGCACTGACATGGATGCAGAACAGGCCACTGTCGGTATATACATGATTTGAGGCAGTTGCACTGTACATCCAATGGTATTGATTCAATACATTTGTGTAAAGACGTGTATACATCCCTTTGCCTGGTCCACCGGCTGAAAATGAGCCACCGCCACCCATCATCAAATTGAGCACACACGATGCAACAAAGTCGGGATCCTGGTGTGAAGTTCCCTCCAAACCGATCACAACGTGCGCCAGTTCTGGCAAACCAGCTGCCGCATAAATGGGGATTTCGCATTCTTCCTAAAAGTGATCAAATTACAAATGATGCCAAATGATAAAATGATTCGAAGAATATATGCAAATCTGTTGTTTGTTTGGTTGGCTTACTTTTATCTCTCCGCCGGTATACTGAGCAATTGAGGCGTCAACTGTGTTAATGCTAGTATTTTTGAGTGTTTTCAATTCCCATGTGCTTTCCATTGTGAAATATTTCTCAACGTATTTAACCAATTCATCATGATCGACACCGACACCGGCCACAACCATGCGAGAAGGTGTATGATGTAATCGCAAGAATGACAACAGTACATCTCTGTCGATTTTGTCTGTATTTTCTTGTGGGCAAAGTTTTGGTAGGCCTAGTGTGTTGCCTCGATAAGCAGCCGCATGAATTCGATCCATCAAGATTGGCTCCTGTTCGGGACGCATATTAAGTGTCTCTAATTCAAATAGTACCGCTTGGCGTGCAAAATCAATTTCACTTTCTTCGAGTTTTGGTCGAAGCACTGCCTCGGCCAATACCCGAGTGACGGTTTCAATGCCACGACGATCCGCGCTCGATGCATAAATAAAAGTGTCACGAGAACTTTGACAATCACAAATTCCGCCGTGTTTTTCCATAGCTCGAAGGATTTTGTCTTTATCGGAAAACTCTTGCGTTGACTATAAAATTAAGATAAGAAAACATTCCATCACTTTTCAACATCTGATTGAATAACACTGCTTGATTCTTACGTGAAAGGCTAGTTTTTCGAGGAAGTGTGAAACACCACTGGGAAATGCAACCTCATATCTTGGTCCAGAGTCGATAACAACTAAAAAATCAATAATGAAAACTCATGAATTTAAATCAAAAACCGAAGTAATCAACTAAATCCCTTACCTCCAATCGTACAGAACTGTCCGAATCGGCTCTCAGATGCGACTCGTAATCCATTTGGCAGTGTTGTTATTCGGGTTTCCCTGGCACTACCCGATGGCTTGGCATATTGAACTGGCGGCAAATCCTTTAACGACTCCGACAATGGTGGATAAGGGGTGACTATTTGTTCTGTAAGTGGATTTTTGGTTGAAAATTGACGTTGGCTTCCAACCACCGCACTCGTACACAGCCCATTTCTTATGTGCGGATTGAACGACGTTGCGATCCTAAAAGGCAAAAAATCATTTTCAAACTGAAAATCCACATCACATAATCCGGCAAAAGAAGTTAACTTACTGTTTGTGTCTTGACATCAACGTCTTTGATAAATTAGCTAGTCTTAATGTCATTATTTTTTCTTGCGTTTATTGTGCCGAAATGTTGTTTCTGTTTAAATTATTAAAATTCACGTTCACTTGAATCCGTTTCAGTGAATTAAAATGGTGCCACCGCACACTTTTCGGTCATTTACAAACACCAACAATTGCTATTGCTTTGAAATCAAATTCATCAATTCATCGGAGGATTTTTTTTAAAACTCAACTATGATTCTGTATGGCGAAATAGGATTTGATTGCGGTGTAAGTGCAAAATGTGACTTTTAGGTGAATCGTTTTTTTGTGTATTTCATTCTATGGGATTGAACACATGCACAGGCACATTACTGTTTTGTGTGAGATGTCAATCAAAGATTATTCAGATCGTTGTAGTTGATGTGCCGTGTTATTAGTACAACAGTTTGATGACCGGACACATAGATGGCAGCTCACTCGCTTCACATTCCAAACGTCAAAAGACATGTAAACAAATATTTGGATCTCAAGTGGAATGGAGAACGCACAATGAACAATACGAATCGATTACTTTTTGCGACGGTAATTTTTGCTTGTTATTCATTTTGCCGAGCAGAAAATGCCAAACTAACTGCAGAGTTAATGAATTCCGGATTTCACAGGTCAGTTAATTCATGTTCTATTGTTGGTTTTTTTTTTTGTCATATTTCATTGAGTTGTGTGCTTTGATATTACTCATCGCAGGCACGTGGAGTATATCGTCGTATTTCCAGATTATCAGGGCAAACAACATTCATTCCTTATCAAACAATTGTTACCAGCCAGCGTTTACGTTGACACCGATCAACTGGACGATTTGAATCGATTTAATAAGGTACTTCATTTAAAAAAAAAAAGAAGGAAATTATCGATTTTGTCCCGATTCTGCAAACTCTCTGCAAACAAAATGATTCAAATTTGGTTTTGAGTTTCTGTTTACATTTTCCATACAGCTCAATTATTTCGTTGACAAGAGTCTTATTGATGTCGAGAAGCCAACGGAAAAATCCGAACCATTCAACATTCATCTATTTGGCAACACCGCTTTTTTGCAAACGATATCGCTTCCAATACACTTTCGATATCATGCACCGGGCAATAAAAGGTAGGTCAAGACACTTTACGTCATTTTACAGTTGCAGAAAATCAATATTTTTGCTTTATGATATTGAAATATCGACAATTTTTATACATTATCTGAAAATTTAATCGATTTGTTTTTTCATTGATTGGTCAGTTTTGTAACGGTGAACATAGCCTATCCAGAACTTTATGTGGAAGTGGATGACGATCTACCGGTGACAAATGCCTCAAAGCCGGTTTGGATGCTATGCAAAGATCTACGGCATCGATGCCAATATGTACAAGTGGAGTATGATGTAAGCTGCATCTTTTTATGGCATCGAATAATTCATTAAAACTTTGTGATTAAACTTCATCCGATTGAAACTAATTATTCCAAATATTCCTGATTCGTTTACAGAACTTCTCTCGCAGGCCGATGACTGCAAGCATTCCAATCGGAAATGCCAATATGAGCGGCACAGTAACAGTATTCACAATTGCATTGAGCTGGATAGCGTGTATATATCTCATTTTTGTTATACGAAAGAGGTATTTCGCAATCAGACATAAATTGGAACCAAATCGAACATTCAATCAAAAACAGAAATAAAGATAGACATAACGAATATTTGTTTGATTGATTCAATATTCTTTTGTTTCGTTTTATTTTGTTGATGGAGTGCATTTCTGAAAATTTTCCAGCCCATATCTGTACTGAAGTTAAAGTAAATATTTGTGTGTACTCATTTGACGAAAAAAAAAACGATGTCTAGGGTAAATAATCATGAAAGTTCGATAATTGAACGGCGCACTTTCGTTGAAGGTTGATTTTACTGGGCCTACAAATCTCGTGACTATTTTGCGAAAAATTGGCACTTCCATCAGATTATATGATCTCCAATTTCTGATCCAAGGAACCCTTTGTTGCAATATCTTTTGGTTTTTTCTTAGTTGTTTTACTGATAGACTTAGCGGTCTAATTGAAATTACAGATTTTTCGTACTTCAATTTTAATTGAGTGCTCCTACTGAACAAAAAACCCACTTCCCACAAAAACGACAACGACCAAAATGTATCAATTATAAATCGTTATTGTTATCGTGACATTTATAAATGTGATAAATAATTGTGAAATTTCGTTTATTTACGCATTTCAACTGTTTTTCCAAATGTGTTTATTGAGAGAAAAAACGGTGGTAAAAAAGAATTGAAAGCGCCAGGAATTGAACATTCACTTCTGGGAGGAACGCGTCAGATGCGGATTATTTTCGATTTCAATCTAAATGAAAATGTTTGTATTCATTTATCAATTGGAAATTTTGGAATATCATTATCAGCATTCCTACCTGAGGTTTGCATTCACATTTTTGGCCATTTGCCACGCTTGTCTACGCAGTTAAAAATCATCGTGTCATCACGTTTTTTACTTTTATCAATTGTACCATTGCGTCAGATCATATCGGCTGAAAAACAAGTGATCGAATACACTTCACCGATAATTTCGAGTGTTTATTTTGACCATTTTTTTGTTGTTGTTGTTGTTGTTTCTACTTGATGAAGTACTATGATGTAATTGCTTTGGAATAATGCATTTCAAACGTATGAAAAGTAATAGATATGATGACCGCTCAATCGGTCAGCAATGATAAAAATGGTGCACGAGACTCTTTTTCTATTTAATCCATAAAATGTACCTAATTTAAAACGCTATTTCGTACGCTTTTTATTTATTACCAATAAATGATTTGTTAGCATTGTTGTTAACGGTTGATTTTGTTTTTGTTTTGTTTGCAATCAAAAATGTATAGTAAAACTCGGAATCAATTGGACGTCAACGTTTGTGTGTTATCATCAAATCGGATCGAAAACAGTCACGTAGCAACTAAGTGGACACACAATGGAATTTTTTTTTCTGTCATTTCTGGCTGTATTGTTTGCACAATCTCACATCAGATGCGCACCATTTATAAGGGACCGTTTGCAGCGTTTACAACCAGAGTCTGAATTCGAACGCCAGTGCGAACGCATCTAAGAGAGATAGAGAGTTGTCAAGCTCACAACCACTCACCCAATTAATTTCACTTCATTTTCTTTGCACCAAGCAAGAAAAGTGTTCTCGATGGTGAACCAATTTTGGAATCGTGAAACATTTAGAAAACTCAACATAAACACACTTTCGAAAAATTTAATCAATATTTATATATATTTGTAAATTTATTTCAAACGACCACGCAGTTACGATCAAAACCAACGGAAATGATATTAATTGTTTTACTTTTAACCCTATCGATACTTGCCTATGTGTATGTGCAATGGCGTTACACATATTGGAAAAAACGGGGCGTACCATGCCCCGAACCGGTCTTTTTCTTTGGCAATGTACTCGAAACCATTACGATGAAATCGCATATCGCACTATTGTGCGAGAAATGGTACAAGTAAGTAAATGTCACTTAATTTCAAACATAGATCGGTGTCGTGTGACGGTATCTATTTAGATAACAGGATAAAATATTGTGTACGATATTTCAATTTCAATTTTCATCATTTTCTTAGCGACTTTCCCAATGTACCATACACTGGTTATTACAAAATTCTCAATCCCGCCATCAATCTTCGAGATCCCGATTTGATCAAAGATGTTCTTATCAAAGATCATTTCAACTTCCATGTTAACGAACAAGATTTTAACAAGAAGTACGATCCATTGATGGCTCACAATCCGTTCGTGGCAACACACGACAGTTGGCGGAAAGGTCGAAGCGTTCTCACACCACTGCTTACTTTATTCAAGGTAAATGACCAACGATTTTTTTTTTCTAATTTAATTGGAATTCATTTTTCCATTGAACAGTTTGATTTAAAACATACTGAAGCTGTACATATTTCGATATGAATAAATGGATGAAATGAAATTTGAATTATAACTGAAATACATGATTTTTTTTTGGACAGGTTCGGTCATTATACCCTCTAATTAGAGATAGTTGTGACAAATTAGCTGATTACTTAAAAACAATTCCACCAAATAAGGATGTCGAAGCTAAAGCGGTAAGTGCGAGATGTTCAAAGTTTGAACTTCAAATCTTTATCGAACAATCGCTTTCAGTTTTTTCGTTTAAGATTCTAATTTCTCTGTAATCGATTCAATAATTTACAATTTCTGTTTTGTTCCTTGCATATTTTCGACAGTTGGCATCCCGTTTTGCTACACAAAATGTGATTCGATGCTCATTTAGTATTGACTCACAATGCTTTACGGACAAAAAGACAGAGTTCCGTGAAATGGGCAAAAAAATCTTCCAGCCAACATTTTGGGGTGGCTTCAAGCTTATGATGATGTCCATTTGTCCAATACTGCGAGATGTTATCCCGTTTGCATTTGTGCCCGCTGATGTTGACAAGTGGTTCCAACGCCTGGTTCGTGAATTGAGAGAAGAAAGAAAACGATCCCCTCTACAACAGGAAGATTTATTCCAAATGTTATTGAATTCTGTGGATAAATACGATATCGATGACATCGAACTCGCTGGATACTCGTTGACTTTGTTCGTCGAAGGCTACGAAACATCAAGCAGTGTATTAGGGTTTGCTATCTATGAAATGGCACGCAATCCAGACATTCAAGAGCGTTTGTATGAGGAGATAACCGATGTGCTGGCTAAATATGATAACGAATTCACGTTTGAAGCGCTTCAAGAAATGGAATACTTAGACAATGTAATACAAGAAACTATGCGATTGAATGTCGTTGCACCGCTTATTAGTAAGATCTGTACCAAGGAATATACGTTACCAATGATCGACGGCCAGAAGGAACCAGTTACCATTTATCCAGGAACACCAATCCAAATTTGTGCTCGTGCATTGCATATGTAAGTCGAATTCATTTTTATTGTTAAAAAAACCAAGATTGATTTCTTAAATTTGAAGAAAAAAAAGTTGATTTCAATAAACATTGTTGAACTAAAAACCCAATTGAAATGGACGACTCCGATTTAGGGACCCGAAGCATTATCCAGACCCACAAGTATTTGATCCAAATCGATTCACCGAGGAAGAGCGACGCAATCGACACAAAGCTGTTTACCTACCGTTTGGAGAAGGCCCAAGAATGTGCACTGGAATCAAATTCGCTTTGGCACAAACAAAGGCAGGCCTAGCGTCGATTATTCGTGACTTCAAAATTAATATGTCGCCAAAGCAAAAACCATTTGTCATGGATATTCGTGCATTTTTGTATCAAGCACGTGATGGTTTGATGGTCAATTTCACCCCAAGATCAACTGCATAGTCAAACAATTCCATTTTTTCCCCTTCAAGATGTCTTATTTCTTGTTATGTTAAGAACTTCATTGGAGATATTATTTTTTGTTTCATAAATATTGTTTTTTTTTTTCTTTCAATTGATTGTAGGAAATTATTTCATGTTAAATTTTCAATTACATAATAACTAGCAAGAACATTGTATTCTTCATAAATCATAAATAAAGATGATTCATCAAACAATCGAAATTTCATTTCTAAAAAACACTTTATAGGTATATAATAGGTAATAATTTAATTTTTTTCTACCAGCCAGCTTAAAAAATATTGAATTACATCTGTTTTTCTATATTAAATGTAACCGAATCTGTGAAAATTCAAATTTAGTATACATTTGACAGGTGTATAACATAAAATCGCACAGTGTTTGTGTACTAAAAAAAAAGGTATGAGTGTTCTGTCAATGTGAATGAAATTCATGTGTCACACAACTACAACGCAAATGGAAACGCACAAACAGAACGACGGAATAACAATCTTTTTGTGGGTTTGACCACAATTAAATGGAAGAATGACAATCGTATACGATTAAATAAGCGTAGATGAGATGAATGTTCAAGTAGAGTCTGTGATAATGGATGAATAATTGAGCCTAATGAGATTTCGATGCACATCGCATCGCAGTTGATTCGATGTATTTGATGTATTTATAGCTATTTCGATGTATGTGTATGAGATTATTCAGTTTTGAAGCATTCGCAGTCTCTATTGTTCATTAGTTCAACGTGAGAGCTGATTGACGTATTGCCGTGTTAAAAAAAATAACACACAATGTTAGTATACACTCACATGTAGATTATTGTTTGTTTTGGATTTGACATTATTTTTTTTTTTTTTTTTTTGATTTATTTTCTTTGATTTTTTTTCCGAACGCAAGCAGGAATAACTTTGAATTTGCAAAAACCAATCAATTTTAAGTGTGGTGCAAATACATTTTCCATAATTCTAACGTGTTTTACCTATATCTTAAGCTTAGTGCGCGCTAGATAAAATAAAAATAAGCAAACAAAAAGACAAAAAAAGTTTCAAATACAATCGAAACAAAATTTCGAACTGTGACCAATTGACACAACGTATACACACATTTATAGTCAGTTGACAAGGTGAAACGCAGCAAATAAACAAAGCACACCAACCAGAAGCAAATAACATACGCATTTGATTCGATTGGCAAGGGATTTGATTTTCCGGTGAGTGAACGAAATTCAATTTTTCATCGATCAACAACAATGATAACCAACCAAAACTGACATTTGTTTGGTGATTTTCGACTGCATTTTGAAAATTCAATTGGTTTTGCATGTGTGACGGTGTACAAAACCGACAATCGAGCATTTGTAATCTACCGTCGCAGATTTGTTTTCGGATTGGCTTTTGGTCGGTTGTCTGCTGTTTTTTGTTATTTCGAATGCGATAAAATGGTTATCACCCATAAATTTGCTTATTAATGTCATTACATTCGTTTCGTGTTTTCGTTTCTATTTTGAGTGTGTTTATCAAATTTTCGGCCTTTTTTGGTAACCAAAAAGAAACAACATACTAGCTCAGAGCTTGATTCGGGTGAGATTATGCGATTGTCATCAATGACGTTTATTGAGAGATTTTTTTCTCCTTCACATATATTCCGTTGAAAGTTGTGTTGAAATCAGGGAACAGCAACAAGTGATTGGCATACACATCAAGTGGTTTTTTTTCTCAACAGTATCCGTTTATTTGGCGCACAGTCTTGCGTCTATTGCCTTTTGTTCGATTTTATGCAACAGATGTCGAGTATACAAGCGAAGATAGAAAAAATGTTGATTGACTTCCAGGCGGTCACAGTTGGCGTCTGACGAATGAAATTTTAATAGAGTTCAAGCCGGTTGATCAAGTTCGTTTCCTTTTTCGCAAATTAACTCAATTTCATTCGGTTTGTTGTGCATCCTGTTCCAACCAAAAATAAAATACGTTCTTCTTCAAAAGATGACGGGCCGCATTCCCAATTGTCGACGAACAATTGATCGACGGAAAAAAAAATTTTTTTTAGTAAATTGAAAATAAATCGACATAAATCGCTTGACCTATGCACATCGTGCCAGTCATTGTATCTGCCATTCGTGGCCCTCCGTTCAATTTTTGAGTTCAGGCCGCAGTCTTTGTGTAAAAATTATTCCTTCGCTTCACTTCGAAAGTGAATAATTGACAAAATCCATTTTGTATGTTCGGCCCGGTTAAAAGTTCATTTTCGATTTGTGGGATTGTGTTGGCCGTTTGCCAATTTTCAACCAGCCCGGCCCCACTGATCATAAGGAATCGGCGGAGAGCCACAAAATTACGAGAGATAGAGAGATACACTACACTAGTACCATTTTTGAATAAATTATATGAATGCCCCGCGCCGATGCGGTTTAACGTTTTGAACATAATCAAAATTTTGAAGCGTATCGAATACGAAAAAAAACAAAGCATAGGTGAGCGAGGGAGAGAAAAGAACTCGAGCCATTCCAGTTGATTAGTTTGTTCGCACAAAATAACATACGCAATCGATAAAACGACATAACACACCTTTCTTGCACATTGCAATGGAACGAATAGAGAAGTGTTGAGAATGAGAAAAGAGAGAGAGAGAGAGAGAAAAAGACTTTGCAAAAATGATGAGTTCGCGGTGGTGTGTGCGCGCACGCTCGTTTGCTCAAATATTTCAAAAATATGAAGAGAATTGAATGGCGCAAATAGACCCATCAATAGCAGCAACCAGCTGTGCAATATCTCATTGAGACAGTCGCAAAAGTGCAATACCGTTTTCGCGGCTCGCGCACATTATTTTCCTTTTGTCGATTGACCGCTTCATACAGACACTTGCAGTAAAACTAGCCACGATGAGTGTGTAAGCAAATGAGATGAAGAGGCGCGCGCCGTTGCATCTCCATTTGTAACATGCCACAATCGATCCGATCCTATTAGGTGCTAATAATATTGAACCACGATTACATTTATTCTGTAATAAATAACACTTTCGATGGCAAAAGGTTTGACATAATTTCATTTAAAATGAGATATGGCCAAATGGACATGTGTGGCTCTCGCTTTCTCTTTCCCTCCAACTCTCCGTGACCGGTCGCAATTCACGATGCACTGGTCGTCGTAGTCGTCGTCGGTTGATGCCTGCAATGCTCTTCCGTTTGATTTCCATTCATACGTGTATCGCAAACCAGAGTGTTGACTAACAGATAGCAACAAGAAGAGTTACTTCGATCCATCACACCTTCGTGTGTAGGTAAATTACATTTTTGAATTATTGTTTTACATTGAATTCGCAGATTTTTGTTGTGGATTTTCATTTCGTGCTACAAAGTAAATCGTTTGGACGATGATTTTGTGTATGTCATTAGATGTTTTACTTTATTACTTCATTCCGTTCACACCGAAATGTTCCCATCGCGGGTGTGCGATCGCACGAACATCAAAACCGACGCAACATTCTGAACATGGTCTTGCACTCAATATCGAAATATAATCAATTCTCTCGGTTCTGAGAACGGATATGAAATCGAATTATTTTCCTTCATCGTCCACATATCCTTTTCTTTGCTTTCTTTTCTCCAATGTTCAAATGTGACAGTTTTACGATCGCACCGAAAAATAGAACGTTAATTTTTTGAGTCACAACAAACCGGACATATTTAAATGGTCGAATGTACTGTGATTTCTCGTTTATTTTATACGTTCAATTCGGTTTTACATCAAAAACAGAGAGAAACCAACGGAAAAAAAAACATTGTGCGGTTTTTAGTCGGGTCGTTATCAGAGCATTTTTGAATAATTGTTTTTTTTTTCTGCTGTTTTTCATTTTGATTAGCATATTCAATTGTATTTTTTTCATTTAATTTTGTATTACGTATCAGTTGGTGACTTTTTCGGAAATTTCAGCTCAATTACTAATGCTGGTCGAATAATGAAAAAAAAAGAGTCGTTGTCAGTGTTTCGTTGTTTTATTTTTCTCATACACAAAGTAAATAACTATCAAAATAAGTCCCAAATTAAATTACGTGTATATAAATTCAAATTAAATTCATACAAATGGGCAGACAAACGAAGAATAACGACACCGAAACGACTTCATAAATTTAATGAAATTTTATTTCACTTAATTTTTCGTTCACTTTGTTAGTGTCAACGCGCATCGGCCCAGCAGCAAGCATATATAGCCGCTTGTTTGATGTTATTGCGCGCCTGAGTCGCCCCATTAATTGTATTACAGTTGTTTGAAGTTAATTTATTCGATAAAATCTCATTGAGAAATGGCAGCCAAGGCGCTGCACACACACAATTTTTCATCATCACTGGCTACTTGCCACCCATACGAGATTGAGCAGCGCATCTGTGAATGCGTGCAATAAGAACACCAAAGAATATATGTGTAACAATCAGCAATAATCAAACAATCCCATATGGAAATAGAGAAAGCATTTTTTCTCCGGCGTTTTTTCTCTGTACTCCTGTGGATCCAATTAGACGTGGTATGTGTGTGTACAAATTTAGCTGTCGTGCATAGTGCAGAGAGAGAGAGAGAGTACTCGACACTTTATGAATGAAATCAATTAAAAGAAAACGTTAATTGGACTTTCTTCATTTTTATTGTAATAATTGGTCATGCAATTTATTTGCTTGTAGTGCATTTGGCTCGAACCATTCATTCATATCATTTGCTCCGAGACGGAAATGTTTTTTTTAAACAAATGCGCAAATTCTAAAACCTAAATTAGTGTTGGCCTTCGAACACATTCGAACACTTGTTCGACCGTTCGTCAACATAAAAAGAAACTGTTTAATTCGTTCGTTCGTTCGGAAAGTTAAAAAAAAAATTATTTTGTTCGTTCGTTCGGATAATATGCTACGGTCGAACATGTTCGGATTTTATTGAATCAAAATATTGGAAAATTTCTGTTTTATTCAAAACTATTATACAAATCATTCATCTAAATAATTTACAGAAAGTTCATAACACCATTCCGTGCCAAAACCAAATTAGAAACAGTTTCTGACATGAGATTGGAACGCCGAGCTGTTATCAATATGCCCGTTTCACTAAATTTCCGTTCTGATGGTGCTGATGATGCTGTTATCTCGGCCTTGGATACAAATAATCGATATAAATTTGGAAAAGTATACCGATTTTTGTGCCACCATGAACACAAATC